CTAGCTCCTGGTCTTCACAATTATTGAAAACCGACTAATTGGACATACAGAATTACCCAAGAATAATAAATGATAAACTGGAAATATATTGTGACATATTTATTTTAATCACAATTTCACAGATTACTATTTAAAAATTAAAATGGTGTCACCACATAATTATATCAGATTACCACTTAAGACCAAGGTTTACCTTGAAAGTCCGTGACTGGTAATATGATTATAGTATCATGCAGAAAGTAAATAATAAATACATATTATATTAATTAGGAACAGAACATTAATTTCATCTAATTGATAATAATGCGTCCCTATTTAAGATAGTCCTATCAATTATCTTAAATAATATTGTTCTGTGATGTTGTGAATGATATGAATGTTGTATGATAATAGTAGAAAATGGAATAGAATAATAGGTATAATTTTACAGCACAATTTAAGAATTAAATTAATTAATTACCCATCTATAACCGTATACAGTTTCACGATTTGAAAATCTAATAACTTTTTTTTTACTGTACAAAATCTAATATCAAATTAATGTAGTGATATTATTTGATTAACAATTAAATCGGAATCCCGAGAGTCCAAGACCAATAGTAAATATGGATTTGAAAGAAAAAATTTGTGAAGATCCAACTGCATCAAATTCTTTGATTATTTATTATTTATAGATTCTGATCGGGGTGATGAATGTATTGATTTTACAATGACGTGTGTTTTTGTGTCTGTGTACAGCATAACTAGTCGAAATAATGCTTCAATTTCAACCTTTGGGGGTGGTTTCCGATGGAAAAGTGAATATCCTTGCTGCGTTATAGAGGTCAAAAGTAAACATTTTCCAACAGTTTTCAAAAAAATCGAGAAAAACAAAAAAAAAAAATGACAGAAAAACAGGAATTTTTACGCAAAACCAGTTTTCGACCAAATCGAACTTTTTATATGGTTGTAATTCAAAAAYTAATCACTGTAAATACTTGACATTTTCATCAAATGATTATGTTAGTGTTATCTATAGACAGTTTAATTTTCAAAATTTAAGTGTCGGTAAAAAAATGTTGGACGACCAAAAAAACTTGAAAATTTAATACAAGGTTCCTTGTGAGTTGTTCTTATTGTAGCTAAAAAAAATTAAAAATCGTAAGTCACAATTTTTTTTTATAAGCGTTTATAGTTCAAATTTTTACGAAATCTGTCGAAAACGCGAAAATTTGCAAGTAATTTTGAAGTTGAAAAATCATAAATTTTTTTGTGTTAATAACTAAGGATTAAAAATACAACACTAAGTTTTCCATAAGTTTTCCTTCAAGTAGCTTTAGAGAAAACTCGAAGCATCATTATAGGAAAAATTTTAAGTGATGCTTTTGAATTTAAAATTTTTACGAAATAGCGTAACGATAACGATTTAACCTCAAACGATTTTAAATATTTATTATTATTCAAAAATTATGTCATACATACTACTTGAAAATTTTACCAGTTATTTAGATTGGCATTTTCTTTACATGATGTAATTTTCAAAATATTTTGACTTTTTTTGAGATATTTATAGACAACTGAAATTTAAAATTTTTCTGAAAATTTTTTTTTGAATTGTCGATAAAATATTTTTGGCCCTTTCAAAATAATTGAAAATTTAATACAAAATTTCTCATAATTTATTCTTATAGTGATTAAAAAATTATAAGAATACATAGGCACAGTTTTTTTTTTATTAGCATTTGAAGTTCAAATATTTACATAAATTCGTTAATACCATGAATATTTTTTTTTGTGTCTGTCATCACGTTTTGGGGCAGTAAAAGTTTTTCGATTTTTGACTTCAGTACCTTATTTGATCAGAAAGTGAAACTAGTTGGTACATTGGGGGTCAAAAGTAAAAAATTCTTAATATTGTTCTAAATAATCGAGATAAACAAACTAAAAATTAAGGGAGAAACAGGAAATTTTACGTACAATCAGTTTTCGACAAAATAGATTTTGATTTTTGATGTAACTTTAAAACAAATGACCATTGATACATGACATTTTCACCAAATGTTTATATAAGTATACCCACCATGAAATTTTGGAACCGTGGACCCATGACGTCGATCTGCGGTCGGGTACGTAAGAAAAAAGAATGTGTTGAGACTTCGAGAGCAATTGTCGCGAGACGGACCAGCTAACTTATCGACTTACAGAATTCATCTACAGAGCGTTGTTAACGGCCGTAGGAGCGCACGCGAGAGGTGGGGCGCGGAGTATACCAAATAATTCACGGGTGACAACCTGACGCGTGAATACGACGTAAGGCAAAGAAATTACATAAAACTTAAAACATAACGAATACAATATAAATTAATAATAAATACACAATAAAGTACAAACAATAACAACAACATGATATAATAATACTACAAAAGTACGGTAGAACCGTGACCGCGGTCAACGCGCGACGGGTGCGCTATGCTGGTGATAGCCACGGATAATAGATATAGATATAGATATATGATAGATATGTCTATTATCCGTGGGTGATAGCACCGTATCACCACATAAATAATGATAAAGGTATAGCCAAATATTGATAATATTATTATTATTGTATGGTAATAATAAATAGTGTAGCGTCCCAGCATACAGGAGGACAAACGACTGGTGTTGAGGTAGATGGATTGGGTGTAATAAGTATAACAACTTAATTTGTGATTAATTTATTAGATATTTATTTGATTACTATGTAAATAAAACACTTTTACTGCACAGAATGATTTGGTTGTAAAATATTCTAAGTCCGAATAATTAAATTGGACTGGTGTCTGGCGTGAAGGTGCTTGTTCTGACTCTGGTGGCTCACGTCTGAATTGGGTCTAATCGGGGCTCTCCTATATAGTCCTACTCTCTGCATTTCCTCTCCTATCGATAAGATACGTATGTGTCCATGACCGAGTCGTGCAAAAGCGTACGCGTGTATTATTTTAATATCGCAGCTTCCCACGCCCATGCGACCGGTCGGTCCACATCCTGGTTATTCGCGATAYGTWATCTCCATAACCCGACGACATTAATCATATCTCTAGATACGCCTGTCAAKACTACGATTTCATATTTAATATTTCGTATATCTAATTACTATAGTAATATTTTGGAAAGGCTAGAAGTTTGGCCTTCGATATAACTATTGAGGTCCTACACAATAGAATTGGTTGGCGAATTCATACGCCCCAGGGTCACTTATACATATCTATGTGTATATGCGTGTTTAGATGTCTCAGCGGGACGTCAGTACATAGCAATAGGTATAATATGCGTATATGCGTTGTAATGATATAATATTGTCATGTAATGAAGACAATGGATGGGATCCAATACGACAGCCAAGGTCTTTAAAACTTAGCTTTTATGGTAAAATTAACATATTATAGGTGTAATACAATAAGACTTTTAACTAATCAGGTACACAGTACAAAAGTTATCAATATTGTTACCTATTAGTTCGTAGGTACGGTATCGAATTTATCAGTTATAGCTCCTGGACTTCACCAATGAAGAAATGATATAAACATGCTGCATATTTTACAGACTATAACACCAGCTGTCCTCCTTTAAACACCAATCCTTTGAGGAGCTGTAACTCGCAAACCAATCAACGAAATATAAAAATGTTAACACGTAAATTTATAATAAAAATGGTTTTATTAATTCATGATATTTTTATCCCCAACAAAAACATAACAGTGAAAAAAGGCCAAGTTCCAAACTCTCTCCCAAAAAAGTCAGCCTATCAAAGTAGTGAAATCTTACATTGTGGCCAAGTCTGCTGTTTTTTAATTCATAACTTCAATGCACTACTACATTAAAGAGCAACATTTCTCTTTTATTTGTATTGTTTAACACTTGGTCAGTTTCTGAATGAGGAATAAACTAGACTTRGCCGCAATGTAGATACCACTACTTACTATGATTCGCTGTCTTTTTTGAGAAGAAATCTAAACCTTTTACTTTTTTCTGAATCTTCTTCTCCCCATCACCCTCGTAAGTCATAAGTGAGCACATTCGATAATGATGTTTTATTCCTCATTCAGAAACTGACCAAGTGTTAAACAATACAAATAAAAGAGAAGTGTTGCTCTTTAATKTARKAGTGCATTGAGGTTATGAATTAAAAAATAGCAGACTTGGCCGCAATGTAGATTTCACTACTTTGATAAGCCAACTTTTTTGGGAGGGAGGTTGGAACTTGGATTTTTTTCACTGTTATGTTTTTGTTGGGGATATCATTTATTTTTGCGGGCTTCAGCGTCGTGAACGACGCGTTGTTATTATTTATTTTTTTTATTTTTTTATTTTTACTTTTTTGTACGTCGTAGATTTTCTCTTGTAAGACCGTATGGATTTCTGTTGAGGAGCTGAGAAATTGGACTCTTGAGCGTTGTCAATAACAGGCAAATATGACCAAGTACGGTCTTTTATTTTTCGTCGTCGAGACTTTTTATATAGAATGTCTGTTAAGTCTGGCCTATACAAAGTTCTTAGACGGTTATATTCAACAATGGCACAATTCTTGGCTTTCAACTGACGGGATCAAAATTAATTAAGTGAACTCTCTGGAGGCTCGTCACCTTGGAGAGGGCCACGTACGCTTGACCACACGAGAAAGTTGAGTTACCAACATCTAACAAAGCATTTGGTAAACTTAATCCCTGACTCTTATGGATGGTAATAGCATAAGCTAAACGAATTGGAAATTAATGTCGGTGCACATAAGCTCGGCTGATGACTTCAAACTTGGTCGGATTTCGTTTTAAGTCATACATTAAGCCACGCGAGAACTTTATCCTAAGTTTATGTATAACGGACCGGTCGTCAATGTCCCATATGACTTGCTCAATAGTACCAATAGATTCGTCGACCAGGCGTAAGCTGACATCAATGTTTCTCCTCAACATCACACGAGCTCCGAGCTTAACAACAAGCTTCCGGTCCAAACCAGCAGTCATGGATGAGTCGTCATCATATTATGATAAAGATTCTGATGCTCGTTTTTGTAGATATCGAGGACAGTCGATCTCGTCCTTAGCAAGAATATTGAGCTCGGACTGGKGAATTGTTTTTAGCATTCCTGTATTGAGTTGTTCACACATGTGTTTAGTGGGGAGTAAGCATACTGTACTATCGAGTAGAGAAGAAATGTATTTTGTGATTTCTTCTAATCGGCTTACATTAGAATTGGACGAAAATGGGATAAGACGTGTGGATAGGAGATCTTGATCTTGTTTTGTCACGACACCCAATTGCATACGATGTAGCATATCGACGAATGTAGCATAATTTTTCTGTCGCATGTTCAACGTTAACTCATTATAGGTGAATAAAAGATTCCATAAGTTTGGAACACTGAGAGAACCGACAAGTTTACGAATTTCATCTGGCTGTAAATTTTCATATGCTGGATTTTGTCTCACAGGAGGTAGCTGAAGTAAATCTCCAAACACTAGACTATGAATCCTTCCAAACCAACCATATTCTTGATCACCAGTGTCGAATATTTCTGTGAGACGGAGTTGGATGAAAAGGAGTGTTACGTTGGATATCATGGATACTTCATCAATGATGAGGAGAACTACATCAGCTAAGTCGGCGCGCAATACTTGAAGAACCTGGTTAGACAACGGTTTATAAGACAATGTCTTGTTATGCTCTACAGGCAATTGTAAAAGACGATGAATAGTGAGCCCGTTAACATTAAATGCGGCAATTCCAGTGGAAGTCCCAATATCTACTAATTTGTTCAAGGTTATTGTGACCCAATGTTTAATGGTATTTATAAGAAAACTTTTACCTGTGCCTCCAGTACCACTTACAAAATGTCGCATTATGCCAGAGTTTTTTTTTGTGACATTTTGGAAAACTCTTAAGTGATCTGAATTGAGTTGTCTAATAATAAATCTGAGTTCTGAAGGATTAATTATGTCTTTAGCCTGGCGAAAGTCATCCATAGGCCATAGCGTTTCTAGCTTCAACGGGCTCAAATTCTAGGGGATTGTCTATTTCGTCATTGACCGATTCGTTTTTATTAGTCCTATTGTTTTGCTCAATTTCTGTTATTTTTGCTTCCACCAGTTCGAACGCTTTTTCAATATTTCGCACATATCTATTTGAAGATTGCCATAGTCAATGCCATCTTGTATAGTATGTTTGAGGTCATTAAATGCCTCTGTGTACGTATTTTTCCCTGCTTTCAACTCAACATATTCCCGCCATGGATAGAACATAAGGAGGATGGAAAAGTAATACTTTTCAGGAAACTTGTCGATGTCATACATGTAGTGATTGATAAGGTAAAGACGTTGTCGTTTTTTAAGGTATTTTTTCGATGATATTTCATAATAATGAACAAGTGGGGACTTAGGACAGGACGATACAATGTCATACCATCTAACAAAATCATATAAATGAGTTCCCTCCAAATCGCTAGGCCGTTGAGGATAATATGTGTCTACCCATGACTCAAAGTAAAGATCAGTGGCTTCTGTATCAAGATTATGTATATATTTTTTAGGCTTGATACGACGATTTCGATGGATATTCACATCGAGCCAGCGTATAGTTGTCTCCGGATCTGTGCCATGCAACTGAATGTATAGGAGGGTGTCACTCACTTCAAGTGTACCACACTCTCTGTTATTCAGGGCCCGTAGGCCCACATTGAAGAGTCGACTAGCGAGAGATTTTGTCGAGTGCATGTTGTCAAATGTGTTCTCAGTATAACTTTTTTCACCTTTTGTGGTGTATTTAATTATATAATAGTTTAGGACTGCTGTTTTTTCAACTACATACTGAATGTCCATATTGACGTTCCACGCTAAGAGTATTGCAGGATTATAGTCATTAATAAACACCGACTCTTTGGTTCTGACAATATCATATAGTCGGTTATTGGACGAAAGATTTCTGCGGGTTCGATTCTGGTACACTACGGGTATCAAGTGTCTCGGTCACCGGACGAGGAAAATCAAATCTACAAACCGACACAAACTCTCGTAGTGTTTTTTTCTTTCTGAGGCAGTAGCTATTATGCCGGTGTGTTTGGTAGTTAGTTACACGCTCAAACAGTGTAGGAAAATTAGTCTTGTCTGGAATAGCACAGGTGACGTATTTTGCAATGAACTGAGCCACGTCGACTGCAGTTGACTCTTCTAGAACCGGCGCATCCTTAACCCAGAGCATAATGTGAAAATGTTGCAATCCACGAGATTGGTACTCACGTCGCCAGAAATAGTGTTCAATTATATCTAAGGGAGCATCCGGTGAAGTAATGAACTCCATCATGGCCTTGAATTGGTTTTCCATAAAGCGGGATGCTGCGACAGGGTCGAGTGCAACCAATTCGCTGTTTGATTTATTAGCCATGTCTGCACCATTGATGGATTTTATATAATTCCCTAAGTCATTCCACGTCCACTCGGATGGACTGATAGTAAGAAACCACGTAGCCGGACCATAATGTTTGGTCATGCGCACTACATCACTACGAGGTTTTTTTCAGAATTGTTCTGTATTTCGCAGTCGAATAAACACAGCTTGTAGGTCTCCTTCTAATTCATCGTTACTTATTTTGTCCAGGTAACGCTGTGCTGTAAGCTTTTCTTTTTGATTAGTAGTATTTAATTTATAATATATGCCAGTGTTTAACTGTCTAATATTCGCGTCATTGAGTAATAAGAAGAGATACTGCTGGTTCAGTCGAAAGTGCGAGTGTTTGGATGTCAAGATGCACTTAATGAATTCCCCTGATGTTAATTTAACCGGACGAGGGTGGAATTGACCAAACTTATCAGTTGCAAATAGTATAGCTACATTAATAGGGTTTAAAAATAATGTGTACACCACTGGATCTAGTTACGAATCGGAAAATATAGTTAATATTATGAAAATAAACAGTATAAAAGTGGATTGTAACTTGGTCACCGGTTCATTCTGTGACGGAGAGCCGAGCCAGACTATACACGATTTTTATCCATCTGTACCTGCAGGGTATAAAATCGTTGAAGTACCTAGACATCCAGTTTTTTATGCTCTTAACACGAGATCAGTAACCAGGATGAGTATCACACTAAAAAATCAAAACGATTGTCTAATTAATCTTCGCGGCGAACCAATAACAGTCCGTCTACAAATCACGCACGGATATGGCGCTCAAGTTTAATATAAAAACCGGTACAATCAAAAAACCTACCAGTTTACCGTATGCCGTTAAGAAATCAACATCTAAACCGAAAAAAAACGAGATCAAGCTCACTAAAAATAATTTAAATTTTCTCCGTACGTTGCAAGGTTAAAAATAAATATGGATGACACGTATTTAGACGTTACGGCCGGCTATTTCGACGAGTGTAAAATAACCCAAATTAATTATCATTCGTTCTCTCCGTCTTCAAACATGTCTTATCTAACAACGATGAAATTAGAATAAGTATTTTAAATATGGGTGCATACACTTTACCGTGTGAGAGTTTTGTTTACATCGAAGGTAAATTGAAAAAACCTAGTGATGCTGTTGGTGATGTACGTTTTTCAAATAATGGATTAGCATTTTTACTCTCCGAAATGCGATATGAAATAAACGGTATAGAAACACAGAAATTAAAAACACCGGAATTTTCCTCTTGTTTGAAAGCATACTGCTCGTATACTCCAAACGATTTGAATACGATTGATATTGCCATCTGGGATTCAGTGATGGATACCGAAGATAATACAAATTTTATGACCAATGATGTATTTACCGGGTGTATCCCTCTAAAACATTTAGCCGGATTCTATGAAGACTATAAAAAAATATTACTTAATTGTAATCAACAATTGATTTTAAATCGGGCATCTACCGACCTGGATGCGATACACGTTGTTGGTGAAGGAGCAACCAAAGCCGTTGATAAAAAAAAAAAATTACAATCGAACTTACTAAGGTGACTTGGAAAATGCCCATTATCAAAGTCAGTGATAAAGAAAAATTAAGACTGATAAAAGTAATAGATTCACATAAAACACTGACATGTGCTTCTTGTACATGGGATTTATGTGAGTACCCTGTACTTCCGAGAAATTCTTCTCATTCGTGGACGGTAAAGTCCAACTTGTTGGAAAAACCGAGGTTTGTGCTGTTTGGATTAGAGACAGATCGAAAAAAAAGTATTGAAAACGATGCTGGACGATTCGATCACTGTCAACTTAAAAACCTTAAGGTTCACTTGAATTCTGAAGTGTTCCCATATGAAGACTTTCGCGCTGATTTTAAAAATAATACAACTAGTATAGTGTATAAGGCTTATACAGACTTTCAAAAATCGTATTATGAGAGAGACTATAGCGMACCATTATTATCAAAACATATTTTTCAAAATTATGTACCAATCATAGTTGTCGATTTGTCACACCAGAACGACAACGTTAAATCATCAACCGTAGACCTACGAATTGAATTTGAAACGGAAACAGTTACTCCGGAAAAGACGACAGCTTATTGTTTAATACTACATGACCAGATTGTAACTTATAATCCGTTTAGTGGTGACGTTAGAAAATTGTAAATATTTTATACCTTGTAATTTTTTTTTGTATCTTATAAGTATTTTCTAATAAATAAAAAAAATTGATTTAAATATCATGCTTGTTTTTATTTCACATAAATTTATTTAACTTCATACAAATATTAAAATAATCTTCGTCTGACATCGCGTGCTGGGTGTTGGGTGTAAGTTGTTTGAATTGGTGTTGATGTACTAATTGGATCGAAGAAATCCGGAAAGATTTGGAATAGATTGCACGACTCTATCAGCCTGATCGAGTTGCATGTTCTTAATGTACATTTTCATCTCTTCAATATTTTTTGGTGGTGATTTCTCTTGAGAACATCTCAATTCTAGGTACGCACCAAACTCATCAATTTGTTTTAAAACTAATGGACTGGTAAATAAATCTTTTCGAACGATGTCTTCAAAAATAGAAGATTCTAAATATTGCAGTTGAATAAGATCTGAACGAATAAGAAGAACTCTGCATCCTTCTCTATTTTTGATTCTAGCACTAATACATTTTCACCACAATACACCATACTAGATAGTTTAAATATATCGGTTTCGAAAATTGTGACTCGACTGTACCTTTGTGGTTGGTCTAATATGAAAGATAGGATATTATGACCCATAAAATCAAATATTTGCTTCAACAAGCCAGGTATAATTCGAATATAACGCGATGGAGTTATTATAAGTAAAACGACTCTTAAACTATGTGTCGGGTCAATTCCGCTTTGAATAAACTTACGACTTTCAAAGTTTATTGTGAAATTGCTTGCTTCAATAAGTTTGGCTGGTGGTGTTGGCGGTACATAGGTGAAGGTCTTCTTCTTGTATACAGCTATGTTATCAGTGATTGAACCAGCCATGTTAATAAAACGCACTTGTTATAAAATAATGTATAAAGAAAGAGAAAAAAACGACAGTGACTATAGAAGGTCGGACACAGACTGAATGCTCGACAACTTGTGTGAAGCAAAGAGGCCTATAGATTTGATACATAGCTAGGTGGGGGTAGATTTKTTGTGCGCATGCGTTAATAAAATACGCTGGACGAAAAATCAAGAGCCTCTTCAATTTATAAAGTCAGAGATATAACTGTAAATTACCAAAAATTTATTTGTGGTAAGTTGTAGTGCACATGTGTGGAAAAATAATAATATGGTACAATAATTTTTTTGTCGAAATAATGTATATGATAACAGTAATGCGATAACGCAAAAACTGATAACGGTAATATATACTGCACACGTACGCGATCAGCAGTCTTTTTTCAATATTTTTTAAATTGTTTGACACATGGGTGGAAAAGTTTATGTGATAAGCAATAACAGTAATATGATAACAAAAAAAAAACTGATAACGGTATAGTCGCACACGTACACGACCGGGTGGCGGGCTCATTAAACAGGATAAGG